TTTTACCCTCTGGTTACCCCCCAAAGACGCAAAGTATAATGGGAATGTGAAAGTAGAGAATGAGCCTATTAGTGTGCTAATCTTGTTATTATCTAGGGAATAATATTGATGGAAAGATCGGAGAGGGGACTGATGCCCATTGATGGTTGGCACATTTCGTCTGTGTAAAAATGAGGGTTGTTAACTCGTTCAGTTTAAGAAAAGGAGCCAGTCTTTTACTGGTTGCAATTTTCTGGGAGCCCTTGGTTTCTTGGCGAAGGCTTAAATGAACATGGGCTTGAATGGGGAGAAGGATAAGCACCAAGAATAAAGACGGTAGGCGGCGGGTTGCAAGCTTGTTGAAACAAGAAAAAACCTGATTATAAATGTGAGGTTATCAGAATCTAGGTAAGTATCCGAGTAGGTAGTCTACTACGCAGCCGCAATAAGTGGGGAGTAGTCGTTGAATAGCGGTGGGCTGCGTACGAGTAGGGTGGGGAGGAAACTCTACGCAGGCTAGCATCAGAGGAGATTACATATCAAAATCGCAAAGTTATAGACCTATCTGAATTTGCTTTATCGAAATCGTGAAAAAACTTTCGAGACATAATAGAGTTTTGGTGGACGCCAATCAGTGTTTCCCAGCATTGTCGGAAAACACAAAGCTTTTAAGAACACGTGCCTATGGAGTGTCATGGAAACGCATTGATCGACGTCCACCAAAACCTACTTCGTCACGATGGCAAATTGTACTTTTTCACGCTTGTGATTAAGAAGTGTTGTAAAAACAGTTAATATATTTTCTCGAACATAATGTATTTTTACTTTCTTTACCAAATAACATCTCAGATAAATGTTATCTTACGAACACATAAAATGGGGGTCCATATTCTCCACAATACCTTACCCTGCATCAAAGGCACGTATAAGAACCCTTGAGTACGTAAAGAAGTGTGAGAAGCACTTGCCTACGACTCGGGCTTCTCCTTACACCTCTTTCGTGCTTACGCTACTTCCTAAGTTCTTTATTGATGAACGGAGTACGGAAAAAGCTGTTTTATTTGTTAATTAAAAATCTATGAGTGTTTTTTTTACCTGATATTCCAGCGGTAAAGTAGAAATATAGTGATGATGACAGCAATAACTGCTGCAGCAACTATGATGATGATGGTCCATGGCGATACACTGTGATCAGGGGGGGACTCGAGTCGCGCCAGCACTACTCCCCCAGAGGGGGTACCATAGGTCAGTCTTACTGGGAGTGTCATGGTGGTTGGCTTGGTTGTTGGTGGAGGTGGGGTATCAGTCGTTACACGTCCTGGAAGAGAATAATGTAATACACCTTTTTTATTGTTTAATTTAATGTTTTCCCATTTCAGACCACCTGTTATTCTCTTGAGAACATGTGTCTTCTCACGCGCGAATGTTAAAAATTGTAATTTAGGAAACAACAAGTTGTCTATATTGAAAAAATGCACCACGACATTGCAAACGGATCGCAAAAAGCGAGAGTTCGTCGGCAAAGGAGATTTCCAAGCTATAAAATGGAATGAAGCCGTAATAATTGACTTGAATCTTGACACTACTTTAGTAGCTTAATGCAGATAAACAGAAGACTGTATTCATGTTTTGCTCATTAACAAAAGTTGTTTTTTTGCGCACAACCCAGACAAGAGCTTCAATGAGTCTTCAGATTACATTTATGTCTKTGTTGCAAATACGAACCAGGTTTAAAGAGCGGTACTCAACACTTATCTGAACACACATTCAATGCAAAACAAGTTGGTTTTTCATACAGCAAATCAATGCAGTACTTACCATAGATGCAGTCTGGAGAAAAGCATCTTGGCGTGGGCTGAGTACATCTGTCCATGTCTTCATCATCATCCAGATCACCACAGCCAGACCCTTGGATTTTATCAGAAATCGGAAGTAATTCAGTTCTTTGACTTCCTTCCAAAACCTCTCCGATCTTGCTGAACCTGTTGATTAACCGAGAGATGGTCAGTAAGAGTTAGCTCGTGTGGGTGCGAGTGTGCGCTTACCGGATGACAGTGGACATTAATCCTCGATTGTATAAAAACCTGTAAACACCTCTGGACTGATCAAAGTCAGGGCACGGCTGACTCTCAGATCGAACCCTGAAACAACCTCTGGGCTGATCAAAGTCAGGGCACGGCTGACTCACAGATCGAACCCTGAAACAACCTCTGGGCTGATCTAAGTCAGCATGGCTAACTCACAGATAGAACCCTGAAACAACCTGAGCTGATCTAAGTCAGGGCACGGCTAACTCACAACTAGAACCCTGAAACAACTTTAGGGCTGATCAAATTCAGAGTGACAAACTCACAGATCAAATTGGAATCTTAGCTTGTTAGGTTTTGAAGGAAATCTGGACAACCCAGAAAAAAACCCTCGAATCAATAAAGATACCTAACAAACTTTACTTACATATGATGCAGTGTCCAGGAATCAAAGCAAGACCCCAGGGGTGGTCCCCAGAGGTGGTCGGATGAAAGACCGACTATTTCATTTCAGATCACGAGGAAGAGGGAAAGGAGAAAGAGGGGTTGTGAAAATCTTTCTAGATATTGTAAAGTCTACTGGAACCTACACCAACCTTTTATCCTGTGGATAATTCATGACTTTGTCCAACACTTTCATTGTCTCGAAAGTCAGTTCCTGGAGAAATCCACTGAAATTCCTTTTGCTGGTTGAGAGATCTATAGCCTTGCCGTCTTCAAGAAAAAAATGGAAATAATAAATAATGTATAATTTTTCCCATTTTAAAAGTCTATTCTCCTCACATACAACATTGAGTCTGGAAAACAAATCCGGGTTGGCAGCGCATGTGCGCACTACCCGTACTCCCCATAGTACTGAGATCACGCGTGCAACATTCGTCCTCATCCTGCAAGGCAAACATATTGTGGAACAAGTTGCCCAATTCTTCAAACAGTAAAAGCCTTAGTGCGCATGTCTAAGAAACCAATGACGGAGACACAACATGGAGGTGGTAAAGAAATCGCACAAAAAAAGACGACGCAATTTCTACTGGTACCATTTTTCTGAGCCTAAACCTTAAAACGTTCATTGCTGATATCTTATCTGTACTCTAATGGGATCAAAAAAGGTTTCAGAAGAGAGCATCCATTTTTTTAATAAACCGCTTAGGCTCAGGTCAAATGTCGAACTTCAAACGAGCCGAACCTAATTGAAACAATGGATAATAAGGCGGTACTCTTTGATGGCATTAGGTTCGGCTCATGTGAAGTTCGACGTTTGACCTGAGCCTTAGTGTACATGAGTTTACTATGCTTTTGACCAATGCCAAAACTTTAATGATCAGTTCTATCTTCTCCAAGGAAATGGAGAAAAAGCTCGAAGAAATACTCGAAGGAAAACGACAGTCTGTATCTATTTACCTGGTCCCCCACCAAAGTAAGCAACTCGTTCATTGCCTTTGAGATCCAGGGAGAAGAGATCACCAGGTGTGAGTTCCTCCATGATGTACCAGCCCTTATTGATATCGATTGTCATTCGTCTCTCACGTCGAGTGATCTCCACATAATGGTATTCACTTACGTTGAGGGTAACTTTACTGCGCATGACAAGCAATCCTGTTGAGATCAATCAAAATCAAGCCAATAGACCTCTTCCTAGTGACGTCAAAGCAGCTCAATTTGTAGGGCAAAACCAAGGGAGCACGTTAAAATTTTGATTGTGTTGGTTTATCTTCGATTTTATTCTAAGATATAGCAGGCGTTCCTTGTAGTGCTTTGTTTACGTGCGTAATTGTTCCAGGGGTTAAAACACTATAGGCCGTCTTCAGTTTCTTATGCCAAAAAAAAAAAAAAAAGAATTAATTGTTTTGTCCCCCAGAACAAATCCTCTCGGGAATCAGTGCAAGGAGTCTATTCTTTGTAAATTTTTCACTTCTAAAAACCCAGTTCCCAGTCACATTAAACGCAGAGAGAGGGAAGCTCTGGAGACTACGAATACTTAACATATTAAAATAACTTGCTATAAGCAGACTGAACATACCTCCCCCAAGATTGATGTTCACCTGGATGGTACCCTCAAACATCTCGACCGCCAGATGGTCTGTGGGATTCCCCAGGTACAGGATGATGCCGTTAGGATCAAGGGGGACAAATCTGAAGGAAAATTGATTACTTTTCATCGACCAGTCGATTTTTGGAGTCAACATTCGATAGGCTATGTACCCTGAACCATTCATGTAGACCATGGTCGACTCTGAATCATAACAACAACAAAAAAACTGATTAATGAAGGTTGCTATAAATAGACGTCATTTCCAGAAATCCTTACCATGTTTTCAATAGAAATTTACATGAATGATTGAGCATGGGGTTTACCACGCACTGTGGACGGCGGAAAGGCTAACAGGCTTTGTAACCCTAAGGCAGCCGATATATCGAATTAGGATCTAGAAGTTGATTTTTGAGGAGGAAAAACCAGTGAACTCGGAGGAAAATACAAAAACAGGAAAGAACTACTAAACAACAATACTCACATACGAAATGGAGTTGAGAAATCAAACCCGGGTCGCATCGTTGAGAGGCGACGCATTAGAAGCGCACGCATTCAGCTGATTGATACCAATCAATCTCGCAGCCAGAGCCTGCGTTTCTTCTGGTAAGCGGCAGAGTCGTTCTTCCTTCGTTCTTCGCCGCAGGCCAGAAGAAACGCAGGCTCTGGGTACAAGATTGGATACCAATCAATGAAATAGATCCTTTTACTTCAATAAGTGCAATATTTGTTTCTTTGTTTGACAGTAATGCTAATATGTTATTGTTATTAAGACTGTTATTCCCATGTACATGGCTAGTTAGTAGTTAGAAGTCACAAAATAGAACTTTATGAAAACGATTAATAAAACAAGTAACCCCCCACCCACCCCCCTCAAAAATCCATATAGTATCAATATCATCATAAACACTAGACGATGGTTTTCAATTTATAATATTGTGGCTGTAGTTCAAACAAAAGACAAAAATGGTGTCTAGCTGACGGAGACGGGGAAGACGAGAAAAACGATCATTTCTATCCCCGAAAATTCTGCAGAGAATGTAAAGAATCGTTAATTTTTTACGGGCAAGAAGGGATGGGGGGAGGGTGGTGGTATTTTGTGAAAATAATAAAAAATGTATTGTATGACCCCTTCCCAACCTGAATTTTTTCACGTTGCCCCTTAATAAGACAGGAAGAATTTTTAATGATTTTCTATTTACCTAATTATTGTTGGGGTGCCCCCCCTTAAATGCAGTATTTTATACGTGCACCCCCTGAATCCCACCAGCTCTCCCCCACCCAATAGTAAAACTTCACAGCCTCGACAAATGAGTATTGTGAAAACTGGAGTAACGAGTTTTACCCTTATGAACTATTTTCGTCCAACTCGGTAGCGATTGAACGTAGGTGTCTTACCGTTTGCACAATAGTCCCCTTCGTACCCAGTCCCTTTACAATCACAGTCAAAGTTGTCAATGTGATCGATGCATGTCCCACCATTCTGGCACTTGGGTGCAAATGACTTCAGATTATTTTTGCACGCGTTGAAACAATCCGGAACCACAGCCTCTTTTCTCTTTAGCTTAGCCTTGAACGCTTTCTGATTGTCTTTCTGATACATCAAGTCACCAATACAGCCTTCGAATCTTCAAAAACAAAAAGAAGTTATTTTAAGAGTTACTTTTAATTCTATACAATTGTCGTTGTGATTATAGTTTCCCCCGTTATTCCTAGCACGATCTTAATTAAACATTGGTTACTAATAAATTATTAAACTAGAGGAATGATTTTGATTCGTGATTGCAATATTAATTGATTCAAAATGAAAGGTATATACGAATGTGAGAGCGTCGATTTCTATTCGAGTCCTTGAATTTCGAAATGAAGTCGAATTTTTACTCAAGACTACTGAACATTTGAATTTTTACAAGGACTACAAAGAATAGATTCTTAATCAATTGAAAAGACCCTCTTTTAGTAATTAATATATGACTACTAAATAGATATTAACGGTTTTATAGGAATAACAATTCACCTTGATGTAGAAGCATCTTTTATGATACGTGCACTAGACCAGTCTTCGTACGCCCATTTCCTGTTTAGAGGAATGCCTCCTAAATAAACCGAAGCCCATCTTCTCTTCCGCATTTTAGCAAACTTACCAACGTGCTCTGGAGTTTTACACTTAACAATTTTTGATACAGAAGTTTTGTCAACAGAAATTGAAATATATTTGAAATATAGTGTTATGACGACATAATGCCACTTGTAATCAGCGAAATCTCCAAGGACGGTTAGTTCCGACGTTTCCTGACAAAATCCCAAGTTAAATCTGAGTCTAATGTCTCCTTTGAAAATAAAAACGTCCATGTAGTCTTGACCGCGGTCGTTTCTTTTGTCGTCGTGGTAAAGTAGAAGAGCTGTTCGACTGTGCGTTTGAAAACGAAAAGACATTATTCCATTGCTAGTGAAGTCCCAGTTCTCGTACTCGGCGTACGGGAAATTACGACTGAGGCTAAACCGAAGGCCGGCGCCAGCAGCATTAGTCAGGGCGAGAAAACAAAGATGAACGACACAGAATATAGACAAAAACATGATTCAAAACCCGTGCTTAGCGTATTATATTCACGCAGTGTGATTTGAAATCCTCATCAGCAACAGTAGTTAATTGTTTAAGCCGTTCTACTCAATGGAGTGGATCTTCCTTAATGGGAGCTAAGAGTAAATCAGTGACTTATAATGCAGGTCTCAGAGGCGGGAATACATCAGATAATGGATGCAGCGCTCTTATCTTCCATTTGGTCGTCCCATTGGTCTTCATGTCCTGTTTGAACCGCTAACTTCGATGATATCTCACAATCATACGACCTCAGTTCCAAAATCATGGACTATAGCTAGCATCGATTCCTATGCTACAGCCAAGTAAAATCACCTGTCTATGCACTTATTCGTCCAATTTTTCAGCCCACAGCAAACGGCTTTTTTACTGTTACAATAATTGATCTGTTAGTTTTAATGTCCTTCTTCTCCCATGCAAAAGAAATTTATAGAACATTGAAAAGCTCCGGGCAGTTTTTTTTTCATTCCCAATTACTGTGTGCCACTAAGGAGATTTTTTTTTACATCCATTATTTTCCAAAGTACAAACGAAGCAAATATGTTTTATTCCATAAAAAATGAACAAATGCGCAAGCAGCTTTTCATGCAATTTAGCAGACATGCTTGAGTATCGTGGTGCTGAATGATCACTGAGTCGCTTTTAATATCCGTTAGAATATCGATAAAACCATTTCGTGATAGCCCGGGTTTTAATACTGAATTGAATCACACACCTAGCTACAATTAAAATATTGTCATCAAGTGATTCTTAAGTAATTTGAACGTAATAATTTCCATCTTTTAATTGATTTCCCCAACAGTTATGGAAGAGATTAATTGAACCTTCGCACAGAAATCTTGGGGAGCAATGCGAGCAAAATCACTTTTTCTTGTCGGTTTGTGAGCTCATTTGAAGTCACTGATATTTTATTTAAAAAGATAACTCCGATTATTTTACAACGTGTTAACGTAAATACAGCGTAAATTCAACACATTGAGCAAGCTTTTATCCATTAACTATGATATTTACTTTTCAAAAATTATGAAAACAAAACTGTAGGGCTACCATCTTACTCAATGCTGCTGAAAGCATTCGGTGATTTTCTAATTTGTTTTCACTGCAGAGTAAAAATTGAAGGTTTTTTCTTCGTAAAATGATACAAATTATCTCTATGATCTGTAGGATTTTTCTTGGTTTATTGTTTTGAAGTCTTGTGAATATTGTAGATTAGTTCATGAGTATTAATGTAGTTTTATGATATGTATAGTAAACACTAAAGAAAGCGCATCTCGGGGTCGATTAGGAACGACGATGAACGAGAAATTCAGCAAGGGAACGAAAAGCCGGCGATAAAATTTTGCGTCTTTCCAAATTGAAACGCTTACCAATGATGGATTTTTGGCACATTATTGACAAATCCAGTTAAATTTCATTGAGTATGTTGAATAATAAGATATTTATCAATCGTAGTAAAACTACGATTTTTGTTTTGTTTTTTGTTTTGTTTTTGCAAACTGAATTTTCACCTACACAAATCTAATAAAAGAAAAAAAGAAAAGAAAAACAAATTTATGAAAATATATCCTTATTGAATGAAAGAAGCCGGTTTATAGTTTATTTATATACATATATATACGCGTCATTTTCGCGCCTTTTTGCAAAATGTCACGTGACAAGTAGTGGTACGTGCGGCCTTTCTATTCTTTTAGTGGAATCAAAAATGACGAATATCTCTATTTATTATTGATAATAATAATGAAATTTATACTATTTCGCAAATACCTATAAAACTAGTGGAGTTGATCATTCACTAACAAATTGAATGCAAAAATGTAATTTTGTGAGGTAGTCAATTGCTGTAGTGTTTCGAGTAGTGAGTAATGTTTCGTGATTTTAGCTTATCACCGCAAAATACTGGGTACGTGTTTTTTGATACACAAAGTTGGCTAAATCGTGCATAAATCATTACAAAAGAAAACAATGATATGCAGTAGAAGATAACTAACTAACAAAGAACGAACTGTTATTTAACTTTTTCTCGCGTTTATATTTACTTTAAAGGAAGCCTATTCAGGACTTTACACAGAAATGACAAGTTTAGTCCTTTTCTTATGAAATCATCCCTAGAGTTTATGTTATATCAGACATTGTGGTTAACTTACAAATATAATGGCTCTTTGGCATAATGCTTTAGCACTGATTAGATAAGGAGATACGTCGAGTTGAGTAAACCAAACTCTCAAACTCAAGACTATTCACAAGTTTTTCACAATCCTGGATCAAGCCAAAATTGATTTTTAAGAAAAACGAAAATTCAAACTTAAGGAATTCAAAAAATCTTCCAAGTCATACTAAAAAGGATTTGTTCATGAGTCCAAGTAAACCGGATCTATATTTTTTATAAATTTTAATCCAACATTTATTCTAAAGAAGCTGTTCTCAAAATAAATTTCATCTAAAATTTGAAAACTATTTAAGAATAGCCCTTCAATGAAAAGTTTTGACCCAACTCAAAAACTGATGAGCAACGATGGTGTTTCTACCCTCTATTATAAAACCTTCTGGAAGAATTCTCCATTGGAGTTTAAAGTGGGGGACAATTTTACAATAGCATATTAACGAGAATTCGTCGTTTGGCCTTATAAATTTATAACATTATATAAATTTATAATATACTATATTTATTGCAAAGAATATCGCAATAAACTTTCGACATATTTATGAATTTATCGAGAAAAACACTGTCAGTATATTGAAAATTTACTTAGGATTGCACGTGTCGTAATTCAGCACAAATCCCCCGCCTCTCGCTACGAGTTTATTGAACTGACCTTTCTTTTCAGTACAAATTAATACTGATTTACTATAAGGATAATGATTATGTGAAATTATAGATTTTTTTAGGCATTCATTGATTATAATTTTTTGTTCTTTGAGAATTATGAGCCATATAAAAATGACTGAGAAGAGAATTTTCTTGGTAGTACCAAGACTGAAAGAACGAAGGACTTGTACCAAACCGATAACAGGTCCTATTCAGGTTTTGATCCCTACAACCGAAGGCTGTAGACCCTGGGATGTGACTAGAAAGCAGCTCAATATGGAGGACAAAAAAAAAAAAAAAAAAAGAATTTCAATCTCCTGAGAATTTGAAGCTTATTCGGTTATGTCCTCCAAATTGAGCTGCGTTTCGACGTACTGCAAGGGGTGCTATGCGATGTTTAGTTATAGTTTCCATGAAAAGAATTGGAGCAAAATGCTTGCAGAAAATAGCTTAGTCCGTACTTCATCTTAGTTTTTCTTCAAATTTATCGCAAGCTCAACCCGATAGCCTCACTTTGATGTACGCTCATTTAGATAACCGCTGAGCCGCGGGCGTAATTACCACGAAGCCTGCGCTACATCATACTAAAGGAAATGACACATGGTCTGAAATGATAAAATCGAATAGATACCAGATTATACGTTACCTCAGGGAGTAAGTCACACCTAAAGAAATACTGAAGAATTAACGGATATGCCGAATGGATGACTTTATTGGTTCCCATCAGAAGTTATGAACTTCTGTTCCCATACAGTAGTTGGAGCCCGGGGAGGGGGGGTTACTACCACCCCAACTTGGGTAGGGGTGTGCCGCCAGGACCTCAAAACCCTGACCCTATCCCAGACCTAAAATTCTGATTTTACATACCCTATCCCAGACTAAAACTAAGAATTATACACCCTATCCCAGACTAAAAGACGCAAAATACGGTTTTACAATCGATTGCAATCAATATTTACTAACATTTTTATTGTTTTTGTGTCGGCAGAAAGCGTAGCCTATTCGCCAGACAAAAACGACCAAGTCGTTAACCTTGTCCCAGACTAAAATGATACCTTATCCCAGACAAAATGTCAAAAAATGATACCCTACCCCAGACCCAAAAGCCGAAAAACCATACCCTATAGGGCGGCACATACCCGTATAGCAAATATAGGGGATTACCCCCCCCCCCCCCGGGAGTTGGACTCTGTCTTTTGTTCGAGGGTCGAGGGTAGTTCAATCGAGGGTGCTACTTCGAGGGTCCAGTGATTTTAGGTCAAGGGTTGACTATACCAACAGAGTATTAAAAGAAATAACTTGGAACAAAAAATCAAACCCTTATTCAAAGTCAACTTCTGTTTCGTCGGGGTCCTCTGCACTACAATCATGTCACTTTAGGCCTTGAAGGTCTAAGCTTTTCCAAATGCTAATCATGCGGATTGTGTATGTGAAGCTTGTATCATCGTCCTAGAATATTTATTAAAAATCATTTAAAAAAGCCTCAAAGGTATTAAGAAATCATTAATTTAGCAAAGTTCGGCTGCTAGGCTTTAATAGCCCTTTGTCTAAGCTCAGAAAGACGTGAAATGTTTTCGGGTTTTGTTCCCACATTAGACGCCATTTTACTCTAAAACTGGGGTGCTTATTTAGTAAAACACTAGACAACATGAATACTAGACAATAAAAATGCACTTTTAATGGAAGAACTAAGCGGAAATATAAGCAAAATTTGCAAGAAGAGCCAAACATTCTCCATCTTTGTCATGCCACCTTGCAGGACGGCATGCTTCAAGTAAAAACTCCTAATTTCATTGATGTTTTCTATATGTTCAACTAAAAATAAGATTCAGTTCTCTAAATCATTTACCTTCTGTCCTGGTAAGAAATTTGCACAAAGTATGCAAAATGAAAGGCAATATTCAGCGAAGGTTGTACATCGACCAAGTCAAATCCTCTTTCAGATCTGTCCCGAGTAACCTTACAAGTGCTTCCACAGGAACCCCAAGACGAAGTTGTGCAAGATCATTTACTTCACTGATATGGTTTTTATGCACGGCTTTAAAAAAATTCCTGATTGGTCCGATTTTGGGTTTTTTTCTTTCTTTAAAAAAAAATCTTATATTTTTTCGAACCGTACTAGTGGCTACGGCCCTGATAAGTGTAATAAAATACATTTAACTTACAGGTGAATGTTCACACAAGGGCAGCAAAGATAAACTATCTAATTGAGCTGATATACACAGTATAACAAGCAACTTATGTAGCTGCTAATTACACTCAAAAAAATTCAAAATAATTAATTATAATTAGCAGCTGCATAAGTTAGCTCAATTGGATACATTATAACCGCAGTACAAATATATATCTAATATATCCTTATATAAAGATGGTTGCACATTGCTCTGTTGACATGGTTGCAAGATTCTGTCTTCCAGCCTTCCAAGAGCCGACAGATAGGGTAGTAAGTAGTGCCTATACACGAGATTCTTGTGACAGACAAATGAACAGTTTTTGGAGACCAACCTCATACACAGCCTCTTTTCCTAATAAGGTAGAGGAAAACAAGCTGGGTAAAAGGTTGCAGACATACATGCAACTCAAGCCAGCAATTACAGAAAGAAAATTCTTTATAAGCAGTTCAAGACAAGGATTTTCATTACATTTTGAAATAAGATTACCAACTGACAGAGTCCTGGGCACTAAATGAGCATTTGGCAAGTTACTAACAGTAGTTTAGGGCAGAGAATTTTGCTGAGTTACTGAAGTATTCTTCTATGTTCATCYCTTTAATGGTTTGTTACAAGCACTCTATCTCTCAAGAACAAAATGGCAGATCTATACGTGTTTACCAAAAGCAGTTTTAGTAATTTCATAGTTTAAGACATATTGGTCAAAATATTGCCCAGCGTCATGGAAGAGTTTCGCGATAACCCTATAATACTCAAGCAAATACTCAATGTATACAAGACTTTAAGAAAGTTTAGGAGAAGGTGGTCATAAATCTTGAAGTAGCTGGCTGTCATCCGAAAGATTGATATTTTTTTAATTCTGATTATTCTGAAAGCCCTGTGTATAGATATTAAAAAAAACAAAATACAGATTTGAGGTCTTTTTCAATTTTTTATTGTTATCTGTGCAGAAGATTCTTAAGCACTACCCTTGGACTTCAAGTACTGCATCAAGACATCATGAGCTTGACTATCCTTTCCATAGTCCTAAAAACAAAAAGGTATTAGAATAAGCGACACCGTTATGGACTTGGCACAATGAGGAACCAATGGTTTGGTATGTCTTTTACAGTGAGGACACTTGAACGGTGAACACTTCAAGTTTTTTTCAGGTTATTATTTCCTGACGTTTCTGTTTCAAACCATCTAAAATGAAGTACTGAGTTCACATACACCAATTGATTAAAATAAATCTTATTTCCAATCTTTTATCTTGATGGATAATTTACTGTATGTTATTTTGTGATGAAAATCTTGAAGAGTTTGAGTGCCATCACTATAAGATAAACAACTTTATTTCTCCTCAGACATTAGTGATTCCGGTATAGCTTTTTATCCTCAGACAAGTCAGTAGAGGGAGCTTGTTTGTCATCACTGGAGAAGTACAATCATCTGATGCTCAACTCATAGATACATGTAATACACATTAGTAGGCCTTATTCATTGAAAGTCATATTCAATACAACTTATGAGATACCAAGAATGTTGCACTGTGCCATACTAAACCAGAAAAGCAGACACAAAACATGTCTTCTTTAGGACTTGGATTGCAAGAGTGTTATTACGATGCCAGAATAAATGTTCTCCTGTTTACATTGAAACTTACAGTAACTACTACACAGCTGCAGCCTACGACTTTTCTGGCTTTCCCTTCCTTGTCAATCTTGCAGAGACCTGACCATTCCCCAAGCTTTTTGCTGTCATCAACCTGGCAAGTAAAAAGGGGGAATAATCAACAACAATGTATTGTAATCAACAATGTTTATTAAACAATACCAAAACAAAGAATAACATCACAGAGTTATAGATTTGAATATATTTTTGAAAACATTAACGGAACATCGAAAACCAAAGAAAGAGTTGAAAAATCAAATAATGAAGTGAATAACGCAGTCTTGGGGGACACGCTCAAAAAAAAAGAAAAACAGGATTAACACGAGCATGAGTGCTATAATGCAAGCACAAGCATAATGATCAAATTTTTTTCCTTAATTCTAATCTTACTCTCATAAGAACTAAAGTTCATTGTTTTTTCCTCTATGTTGCACGGCTTTGATAATTGCTGAAACCGGTCTATAGTAAAAGAAAACAAGCTTAACGACCTACCTTCATGAGATAAATGCCGTGTTCAGCACAAAGGGCTTCTACCAACTTCACGTATGTTGGTTCATCACAGTTGTTGGCAAGAATGCAAAGATGAGCCTCACGTCTGGTGGAGTAAATAAGTCCTGTGTTATTTAGGCAATGTTAAATTTATGCATCTCTATGTAAGCATAATTTTCCTTTATCAAACCCTGAAACAACCAGTAGGAAATGAGAGAAGCAGGCATAGAAAACAAAGCCTTGGGTATAACATGGTTTTAAAGTACTCTTCATTTCCTATTACATATCACAGCAGACACAATGCACACTGATTGGTTAATAGGATGTTGGCGTCATTTGACTCCCACTACCATAATGCTTCGCAAATTTTCTTTATTTAAATTTGTATTCCCTTATGAGGATAGTAAGACAATTGGTACTAATTAACTGAGCAAAAGAAAGTGTGCAAGGGAGTCTGGTAGTAGAGTATGACGCCATTACGCAAACGACCTATTAAAGCGTGAGCAAAAACTCGACGGAAGCACACTAATCAATGACTAATGCTTTTACAGAATAACCAATACAATAACTGCGTAGTTCCAGAAATTATTTATCCATACCCCCCCCCCCCTAACAGCGGAATTTGGAATTTCCGAGGGGTAGGGTGGGTCAGAGTAAGAACAAAATGACAGAGTTTGTATGGAAGAAAATTGGGAGTTCTGGGGGTAGTGAGGGTCTTCGTGAATCCGTCTTACGAAAGGGAATCACGTAGTTCAAATTATATTTTTTCAAATTAATATTTTCAAAGGAAAGCAGACACATTTTTTTGCTGCTTACTTGTCCAAGGCTTTAGCAGCTTCATGCAGTCCACGGGCCAGACCGTTGTGTATCATAGCAGTCTTGAGCACTTCTTGAAGGGCTGTGTTAATGTCCATAGCCCCACCGGGAGCGGGTTGAGCAGGCACATCATCTCTAAATCACAAAGAAATGTTAGATTTATAAGATTAGCCCGTAAAATATTCCAAATCACACGTAAAAAATATCGAGGTTTCAAAGTGTCTTACCCTTCCGCATCAGACATGTTGTTACTCGGCGGATGTCCTTACTACAGAAAAAATAAAAGCACACATCGGTGATTCAACTCTTATGTTATCTTCCGTGGAAGAATCATCCATAACAGTTAAAAGATGAAAAAGATTGAAGTGGATTATTTCGTACATGATGTGTTGTAAATCTTCCTTGCTTGTTGCTTTACGAGCGAAGAGAAAGAAAGAGTCGCATCACGTGGCTATATATTGACACTCAGTCTCTCTCTGTCTAGATAACACAGGAAACCCAATTTGTCATGCTAGAAGTGGAATATTCATGCTTAAAATATTTTTTCTTTTCAGAGTTTTACATTTTCTTTATGGGTTTTGCTGTAGTTTTTGTTGTATGTTTATGTTGCTGTTTTTTTAAAAGATATTTCTGTCTACGCACCCGTACAATAATTATACAGCAACAGCAATAACAACCTCTTACACCAAAGACACATTTTTCAAAGTCCTATATAAAGAACCGAAGAACTCTTAACATGATTGCGTACTGAACGCGAGAATGTCTATTAAACAATGTTAATGAAACTTGTAAGCGAGACTACTGCGACTCGTGACCATAACAACCTGCAATTAGTAATCCGTAACTTTGAGGTCTTTGAGTGTTATGAGACTTTTTGTAGGTACTAGATTAAAAGTCTAGTTTAGTTGCTTTTGGAAGAAGAAGAAAAAAAGATAAAATGAATCTATTTTTATACGTGTTTACGATTTCATTGCCTCTGATATTATCGGATGATTATTAGATTTAACCAGCTGTTTTAAAAGAAAGTAAAAAGCCTTGAAATATCCTACTTTTCACCGACTTTTATCAGTTTTACAAACGTGCTATTTGTTGGGATTGTTTTCCGTATCTTTTTATGCCTTCAGACTGAATTCCTCAAATCCAAAATAGTCATGCATGGTGTTTTTTCCAAGGTTGTTTGCTCAAAATACGAAGACAAATGAAATTCGAAGTTCGTCAAGTGACATTCTTTGATAGCAACAAGCCGTTTCCTTGGCATCAAGCACATTTTCACTTCAGCCTCGTAATTGACGTTCAATTTACACTGATAGTTATCCTCGTATGGGTTATCCAAAGTACGACCTTGATCAAGTAAGTTGTGTTTGACTAAACTATAATTTTAACTATAGTCGAACGGTGCGGTCGTTGTTTAAAGACCTGGAAGTGCAAAAGCAGACTTGAAAGAGAAAGAGAAAGGGAGGGAGAAGGCCAGGGAAATACAAAGCGCCGGATACCGCCGGTTTCGACCACTATTATTTTAAAACTTAAGCTCCAAATTTAAAATAGACGGCTGACACTGTCAAAGAGGGATTAGTGGTGCAAGGCTAAACATAGCTTTACGGCTCATTCAGCTTTCGAACGTCACTGTGTGCAAAAGTAGCTAGCGCATTTTTACGCCCAAAGGCTCAGCTGTTTGACATTATCCGGCTTCCAATGTATGTTTTAACATCATATCAAACAGCTGAGCCTTCGAGTTAAGACTCGATTTACAAATGTGAGGCTAGTTCACAACGCTTAGATGTAATAGCATTATTGTAAGTACAATGTTATGCACTAATCAATTGAAAACCCCATTCACAACCCTCTGGGACAGGGCGGGGAAGTTCTTTTGTGTAGTGTTGAGTTTAGCACTATTTCCCCCGGTCTCCGTGAAAATTATTGAAATTGCTGCTGTTAAAATTGTTAAAATTCCCTGTATACCCGTGCATTCTCGCTCTCGCCGCGTTAATTGTCCGTCCTGTCCGCGGGGTACAAGGGGTTTCAATTGATGAGTGCATGACATAATCTTATGTTAGCATTTGTTCAAAATCGTCGACAAGAGAAATTTTAGCGAAAAGGAATTGCCTTATTAATCCTTATTTGATCTTTAAAAGGCTGATTTTAGTTTCTATGATATTTATACAAGGACATAATGAGAATTAAAAAAATACAGATTTAAATTAATCTTCTTACTTTGTTCCTAAGTTTTCAGTTCTTCATCAGTCCTTGGTTCTTTTATCAGTCACGTCATTCATTTCAGTTATCCAAGCGGCAAAACACTTTCATTAAGTTAAGGAGTATACACAAAGGCACCTGTACCGAAAGAGCTTAAATTCTATTGGCTTAACAACCCTCTATTTATTATAAACCGCCCCAATATCGCAATAACGTTTGTCAACAACTATATTAAAATCGAAAAATTCCATGGTAGCGTTTTGATATATTGGTTAGAAATTACTCAGTTAACTTTGAAGTTCTATAGCTGGCCCTATATATCATTTCTAGCTCAGTTACGAGTATTTGTAATCATGGATCTCTCTGATGTTCGCCTTTTAACATGAAAATCTGAAGGTATATATAATTGAATATATTAGTGTTTAGCAGTACAATCGTTATGAGTGATGCTAATAATATTAGAAGGAGCTAGGTTACTTTGTAAATGAAACTCATCTCTCTATAGCCCGTTCGAAAGCTGTAACAAGATATTGTTTTTTTAAGTTTAGCTTAGTTGTTTGGGTGGTAAGGTTAGGATACAGTCAATTCAAAAAATGTTGCCGTCAAACAACTCAAGCCTACGCGACAGGACCGAAAGGAACTCTGGGTAGCAATCATTGAAGCTGAGTTGACTCCATAATTTTATCTGACTAATGCCTGGTTTACAGCACGAACCTTCGTAGGCGAGCGGGAAGTGTTGAAGGAGACATTTTTWAAATGCCTTCATATTTTCGAAATTGTGAACTGAATCATAACTACTTTGTTTTCCTTTCCCTAAACCCGAAGACATGCATTTGATGGATTGTTTCTCGCCATTATTATCTTTACTACTAGCGGGAACAATTAATTCAGAACGAATATTTAACCGCTTCAGTGATTTTTACCCTTATTCCTTTCGGTCCAGTCGCGTAAGCTTGAGCCGGTCGACGACAACGTTTTTTGAATTGACTGTATGTCATTCGTTTCGTTGTTACTCAATGGTAAGGTTTGCAAAGATATAAGAGAGGAGAGGAACAAGCTCAGTTTAAATATTTTCCGTTCCTATTTTTATGTCATCTTTCTCTCTTCTCCCTAGCTCTTATCTTTTCTGGACTTCCCTATCCTAGATTTTTCCCCATCGTTTCTCGCTTTCTATTTTTAGCCGTTTCTTTTTCCTTCCTCATTTAATTTGTTTTCTCTACTCATAAGATGCAGTTAATTCAGTATCATATTCATAGATCCATTTACTTTATCTGTTTGCTTGTTAAATTCAATCGGCGTCTGGGGCTGATTCCAATTAGAATACCTTTTGTTTGTTTTTTATTTGATTAAAAAAGAAAGCCACTGAGAAGCAAGAGGAGATGGAAAATAAAAAAGAAAGAAAGAAATGCGTTGAAGAATGAAAGGCAAAATAAAAGAGAAGGCTCATTCACCGAAGAAAGACAAAAAACTTTTTAGGGGAAAAAAAAACGACAACAAAATAAAAAGAAAAGAGAAGAAAAAATAAAAATAAAATTAACAAAGAAATTAAATTGGGAAACAAATCGTAAAAACTACAGTAGCACGATGAATTTCAAATCGCCTGGGTGAAAAGTGATCGACCTGCCCTGATCACGATTGAAAAAACTTTGACACGTTTCAAAGAGGAGATGAATTAAGAGATTAAGATAAGTTCCAATTTCGTCTTCCCATTTACGAGCAGGTGTTAATCATTTTAAGTCCGAATTTACCATAGACCATATCAAAACGGAGGAAAGACTTGGAACGAGCGCAACGAGCAATTAATAATTTCAAAACTATATTTTCATTTCACGAAAGACCATGTCTAAATTAGTAATTTCGGAGAGTTCTGTTGTCATATATTGAAGCCCTGAAGAGTTATAAGAATTTGGAATGAACCGAAACCGATAATGAGTTTGGTAGGCCCAAACAAACCTTTCTAATTTCAAACAGCTGTAGCTTTTTATTTTAATGTTACTACACTGAAAATTTGGAAGATCCCTTATTTCGATATACTCTTTCTAATGAAAACATTGTCGTCTCCCATAACTGATGAACTAAGGTATCTCAAGGGATGCCCTCGTTTTCCTATGGTCTATAGCGATAACTGAATTGTCCATCAATTTGCTGGCTTGAATGTATTCTTTTAAAAGTAATTTATCTGATAAACGCTGTGTGGGTCACGGACGTCTCATGACGGTGTTGAATCTAATCGATGTTAAAAGAGACCGCCCTCTAATTAAAGGGCAAAAAAACTAGCAGGCTGATGAAAATATTTATCTGTCTGTGCCTGAAGTCAATAGAATGTTATAAATGTTATAAGGTTTACCTAAACCCTTTAATAAATGTCAGGACACATCTCCCAACACCGCTGTAGATGATGGCTAGTAAACACTAGCGTGGACAACACCGCTGTTCATCCAATGAAAATTCTTGGGCACAGTCACAGTCACGGTACGACATCCTTTGAACCAATCGCATCTCACAAACACCACTATTCATCCAATGAAATACTTAGGCACAGCACGGTCACTGTACAACATCCTTTGAACCAATCACATCTCACAAACACCACTGTTCATCCAATGAAATACTTAGGCACAGCACGGTCACGGTACAGCATCCTTTTTATCAATTTCTTGGAAACAGTCAAGGTCACGCAAGCATCTCTTGCCATACGAAATCTACTATGGAAAACCTCTAGCATTATGTTTATCTTTGATATTATTATAAATAAAGAGCGAATTTCTTTCTTTTCAGGTACGATGAAGAGATTCATCCAGACTGCTCGTCTGTTCTTAGTTTCCATCATTCTTTTTCTGTTACCTACTATTGGCGCACAAGAGTTCAGGTCATCATTAGTTATTGCATCTACGAACTACCGTCTGGACGGCCACATCATAAGACGGCAGAAGACCCGCRGAACAATCCAGTGTGTGCATCGCTGTTTAAGTATAACCATATGTGGAGGATATAATTATAGAAAAATTATATCGGGCGAAGGATTGTGTGAGTTGGTTGGCAGCCTAGAAACCACAGAAGATAGCTTTAAGTTGGTTCAGAGTCAAGGATGGGTATCAGGAAAGATGAAAAGTGAAGGTAGGAAGACAAGTCTATAATGACTTCTTCAGCACAAGACTAACAAGCCTTCTCCGTACGCGTCTCTTATTATTTTTACCTATACTGGGCTTCCTGTGTTAGCTGAGGGCTGTCACCAGTCTTCTCTACTCTACCCTCAGCCAGAGCGGTAGAGATTACTGCGGAAGAGGCTAGGACTATTCCTGCTTTGTAGTCTTTTCAAATAAGAGCCCATTGCACGGAAAGACGGCAAAAAATGTTTAGTCCTGTGCTGACCATGTCCGCCATGTTGGTAGCTTAAACAATGCAGCGGCTTTGAAACCAGCTCTGAATAATACTAGAAGTATTTTATTACACCAAATTCAATAATCTTCCCCACATTAACTTGACACAGGGAGCCCACTCTCAGAAAATTATTTTTTGTTTTCAACAGAGACAGAATTTACTTTCACGAATTTAGGAGCAACTGGCGGCGATGGACCAACTAACACTAACGGATATACTGGTACATCACTTGAAGGAAAAGTACAACTAAATCAAGGGATTCAGATTTGGCTAGTTCCAGAAACAGGAAGTTACGTCATTGACGCCCTGGGCGCTTCCGGTGGAAATGGGACCAATACGACCATGCCAAGAGTTTGGAGAAAAGGTGGACTTGGTGCAAGAATCAGGGGAACTTTCTTTTTAAATCGAGGACAGCCGTTAAAAATCCTTGTYGGACAAGAAGGAGAAACGCTGTTGCAATTTGCTAAAAATCCAGGGAGTGGAGGTGGGGGTACTTTTGTAACCTTTCCTAACAACACTCCATTAGTAGTAGCAGGGGGAGGGGGTGGTGGCGCCGCCCCTGATTCTGGATGGCTAGATGGAGATGATGGTCAAGCCAGCGAAAATGGCACATCGTCTGGTGGTTTTAATGGAAGTGGTGGAAGACGTGTTGCTCTAGATGGAGTAATGATGTATAGTTCAGCTGGTGGTGGACTGATAGGTGACGGAGCAGGAGACTTTCTAGTCACTGGGGGTAAAAGTTTTATTAATGGAGGAGCCGGCGCTACTAACGGGGCAGCAGGAGCAGCTCAAGGGAGCCGTGGAGGCTTCGGCTGTGGTGGTGGCTGTAATTCTGACCCAGGGGGTGGGGGTGGGTACTCAGGTGGTGGTGTGACTAAAAAAGGAGGCTTCCTTCAAGCAGGTGGAGGAGGATCATTTAATGGTGGTACGACGAAAGTAAACCAGGCAGGAGTTAACAAAGGACATGGAAGACTAACCATCACTATTCTGCATTAAACCACATAGTTGTCGAGTTCATTTGAATGAAGAGACTGATCATGAATGTTAGGGTAATTAGATAAGCTCTGTGCTTGTGGTATTAGTATTAGGATAGGCGATAGAGCCGGGTGTGTACTAGCACCGACTTTACGGTGGTAAAGATTATTAGCACCTTTACTGCAATTTTCATAAAATGCGAACTCTGTGTGTCCGAGTTGCACACTAAAATTGGGTTTTTCGCTGCCGTCAGTCAAAAATATTAAAGGTACCGACTGATTTGGTTTGATTGACAGACAATTTTCAGCGTTCACAGAGCTAGCAGACAAAGTTCAAATGTTTATAAAAATTGCCGATTGACTAGAGATACATGGACAACGTAGATAAGAAAAACAGAAAAAAAGTTCATTGAATTAAATGACCTATTAGAGGTCTATTTTGTGTCTTTTAAATGAACATTGATGTAAATACACTGTTTACTAAAGGAAAGAAGAAAATTGTCAGGTGAAACAAACGTTATCGTCGTGTCACCCTCACTGGTGAGGTTCCACCGAAAATTATTAATGAATGAGATAATACTTCAATACTAAATTTATCCAAATATGATCTAAATACGAAAATYATCAATTATCGAAGGTAATACTGTACTAATATTTATCATATAGATATCGATGAAATACCAGGTTTTCTCTAGTGTCGAAAACTTGATATCTTTCACTAGTGGAAGATACCATATCTTTCACACGTGAAGATATCGCTGTTGACATAGTAACGTATTTTAATAAAGAATTTTTGAGCTTTTGTTTTATTTAAGTTTCATCGATATCTATATAATATACAGAACATTACATGGCCGCTTGGAGATACGAATTTTATCTTCTCGTGTTCAATTTAGATATCTCATATCCTCTATATATAATGCTTATCACCAGAAAATGCAAAATTGGATACGAAAGAAAATTTGAAGCATTATCGTAGTGGTAGTCAAATGACGTCATCATGCAAACGGCGTAGTCAGTTAAGTCAGTGTATGTACGAAACGATGTCAAAACCTTTGATCTTTTTTTGTGCCCCAAACTTACCGATCTTTATGACTCTCAACTAGATTTCAAACTCAAGATCTCTGATTGCATGGCCTCCATTTTCTTTGGTTTTGATTGGGTGAAATGAAGTCCTTTTTAAAATGCCACTGCTTGTGAGATAAACAAACTCATCGTAAATATGACAGAATTTGAATCGAAAAGACTAAGTCTAAAACGCGAAAAAAATTACAAAAAGGTCCTAGTCAAGAGAAATGATAAGAAAAAAACGATAAAAACCTTTAGAAAAATGAATAATAAATTTTTTTTAGAAAACCTTTAAAAAAATGAAAGATAAAAACCAACCACTGTTTGTGAGATAAACAAACTCATCCATTACTGACGTAAATATTACAGGTTTTCCCTATTCCCTACTGTATCCCTGGACCATCAAACACTCAAACAACTTTATTCTGATACATTGGAAGCTGACTGCTGGCATGCAATTAGAAAGCTGGACAGTCGGCACACATTGTTCCGATATATTGCCCCGCCAACAAAGGCATACTGCAGGCTCCGTTTATTAAATCATTTTGTTGTTGTGTACAAGACCCGTTTGAGGGATTATCTTTGGTAGAAGCTCGCCTACTGCCCGCCAGGCAAAACCCCCTTTTTAGGAGGAAACCTGGT